CTCTCTCTCTCTCTCTCTCTGACAAATAAATAAATAAAATCTTTAAAAAATAAAAAAATAAAATAAAATGGCCGCCGGGAGCCTTGCCCACAGCCCCGCACAGGTCATGGAGCAGAGCAGGTGCGGTGAGGACCCTCCGACTGCCTGCCCCCACCACGCTTGCTCACCTGCTCACCAGGAGCTCCTCTCTCCTGGGCAGTCGGTTCCCGGGGTCAGGCTGCCCCGGAGTCCTCCCTATTTTTATTTTTATTTTCCTGGCTCTCCAGCGGAGGCCTCTCACTCCAAATGGTTCCTGTTGCCCCGAAAACAAGGTGGTTGGCAGCGCAGTCTCCTGACGGGCCCCATACAAAGGCAGCCTGGCAGGCCTGCCTGCTGATGCCAGCCCAGGGCTCCGGGACAGAGCTGGGTCCCTGCAGTTTCTGGCATGCCCCGGCCAGTGGAGTGACCCTGTCCCGGTTGCTTTCTGCCTCTGGGGACACAGTGCTATTGCTGGGGCCTCGGTGAGATGACACATGACGCACATGGAGGGACCTGGCGCACACACGCAGGGCGCCCCGGGCACCCGCAGAGGCGAACTCCAGATTCACTCCCACCCTGAGACTGTGACCCCTCATGCCAGCGTGGGCCTGGTTATTCCCATTTCACAGATGGAGAGACTGAGGCTCACCAAAAAAAAGTTTCCCCGAGTCACACCAGTCAAATTGGCAAAGTCTTGGCTTCGAAGCCCCTGATTCCCCCCCCACCCCCACCCCATGCTCCTTGGAGTCTTCTTTCCAGTGGACCATGGACAACAGGGGTAGGATGTCACCTAACTTCCAAAAAGGATCCCTCTGGCTGCTGAGTGGAGAATGGAGGGGAGAAGGGGGGCCGAGGGGGGGCAAGAAGGTGCCCAGGTGGAGGCGCTGAGAAGTGGTCTGGTTCTGGATGCGTTGGGGAGGTAGAGCCAGGGATTGCAGGCAGGAGGCCGGTGGGGAGTGACGGAGAAGAGCAGAGCAGGCGCCGCTCCCAGGTGCCCGAAATCCGCCTCCCGAGGTTCCAGAGCAGGGAGGCTGCCTCTGGCTTCCCTTCTCAAATCTTACAGTCTTCCCTCAAATATCCCGTCCTCAGAGGCCTTCCCCGACCTGTCTCCTCTCGTGGGCACTCCTGGGCCCCTTCCCTGCTTATCTTCCCCTGCAGCCTTACCCCCACCTTACTCGCCGAGCTGTTGGGGTTCGCCCCTGCTAGCAACTGTCAGCTCCTTGCAGACAGGGGTTTTTGCTTGGCTTTTTTTTCTCCCGCCGCTGTATCCCCAGGGCCTAGCACAGTGCCTGGCACACGGTAGGTGCTTAATAAATATTGTTGAGCGCATGAATGAAGGGCGGTTCGATTTTAATCCAGGGCAACCCAGGACGTCTCCTCTGGAGGTTGCTGATTCACCTCAATTATCTGCCATAATCTCTCTGGGTGACCTCGGGCAAACTGTCCCCCAACCTCAGCATACCCAGCTGCCTATTGGTCTCAATGACCTCCCAGCCCTGACAGTGAAGGGCGATTTTTCTGTGGTGGCTGGACCAGGAGAACAGGGCCAGACCCCCTCCTGGGGCAGAAAGGAGGATGAAGCCCCCCCCCCACCCCACGCCCACCCCGGGGCAGCCCTGCTGGCCGCCTTTGCCAAAGGTGCACTATATAAATAGCAGGTGGTTCAATTATTATCCTTCCTAATCCGAGGCTTCCTAATCCTGGGCAGGTCTGTGTGTGTATGTGCTGGGGAACGGTGAATGGCAGAGCCTTCTGGAAGCCCAGGCCAGGAGACGGCCTCGTCGCTGATCTTTAGCAGCAGTTCTTGCTCTCTCCTTGCACCCCAGAAGGATTCGAATGATGGATTTTCCCAGATGTGGCCTGCAGAGTCGGAGATTCCCTACCGCCTACCTCAGATACGAGGAGGACCCCAAAACCACCGCCTCATTGGGGTCCTGATTCCATGCTTCCCTCCCTCAAGCCCACCCTCCAGTCTCCACCAGAGTGGCCTCTTAAAACACATAAACAGACCATGGCGCTTCCCTGCTTAATACCCTCCCATGATTTCCTAGCTGTAGGATACATGCAGGCTTTTTACTAAGGTCTGCAAGGCCCCGGGGCTGGACCAGCATCTCCCGTCTTCGCTTATTCCTCTCTGGCCAGGCCTTTATATGCGCTGCTCCCTCCTCCTGGAATGGCAAGTCTTCACCTTGTTGCCCCATCTGGCTCTCAGCTCCCAGCGTCTCAGGAAGGCCCCGTGCTTATCTGAATGAGCCCTCATTTCTCCCTGTCTACGCTCAGTCTTCTGTTGTTCACGAATTATTTCTACTTGTCTACTTACCTATCTTCCCACTAGCATGTAAATTCCTAGCCTGGGTCATTGCTGTACCTCCCACACCCAAAGAAAAGAAAATCCCCCTGCACTTCAAATACTGCTCAGAACCCTGTGGGCTCCCAAGGACCATTGTCAAGCAGTTTACTTACTTATCAAAATGCCGTGTAGCACTTGGTACATGCTAGGCACTTTTTGAGGTGCCGTACAAATATGAATTCATCTAATCCTCGCACCAGCCTTTTTAGGTTGATCCTCCTGTTAGCCTCATTAATGGCAGGTGAGGAAGCTGGGGCACAGAAATGGTAAGGTATTTTCTCAAGTCTATACAATCAGAAGAGATGGGTGGCAGGATTAGAACCCAGGGAGCCTGGTCCATGCTCTCAACAGGTGTACCCGGCCTGCCTCCCTGTCTTAGCACAACAGCAGGACCCGGCCTTGACAGGGAGCCTGGGGTGGGGTCGAGGGTGGGGTCGAGGGTGGGGTCGCTCTGCAAAGGTCTTCAGCCTGGAAATCAGGGATTAAAATCTTGTTTTTACCCCAGGACTTGCTGTGTGGCCTTAGGCAAGTCCACTCCCTCTCTGGACCTCAACTCCCTCTGTATTTACAGGGCTGGCCCTTCCTCCACCTTGCTTCATTCATATCCTCCTATAGGCCTTGTGAAGCAAAATTGGTGATAGCTTATCTCCAAGCCCCAATCCCTCCATTTAGCAGAGGGTCTTGGACTCTTCTGCCGCCGACTGTCTGGTACCTCCCTTTGCCAGGTGACCAGGGCATCCCCACTCCCTATCACTGATCTGGCTGCTGTTGAGGACACAGCTTTCCTTCAAGGAAAAAGAGTGACAGAGACCGAGAGGCAGGGAGAGTGGTTTCACCAGGTGGCTCTGTCCTCTGTCTCCAAGCCCCTTGCCCCTGCTCTCCTTTCCCCTCATCTTCCCCCCTGCCTGTCATTTTCTGAGAGCCCAGGCCTTCAAGCCCCACCTCTTCCCCGCACCCCTGCCTGGGCCTTCTGCACCCCCTGAAGCGCCCCTGCCTTACACAGAGGCACCTGGCCGAGAGCCCAGTGCCCCCGGGGGATGCCCAGACCCTTCCCCTCTGGTTTCTCGGCCACAACCCCCCCTTCTCTCTCCCTCTCCTCCCTGCTTCCCTGCGCCTCTTTTCCAGGCAGTACTGAAGTCCTTCCTACACACACGCTATTTTTGTACCATCACTCTCTCCTTCCTCTCCCCCTTCCCCCTACATTCACTTACTTCCTGCTTTTCCTTCACCTCGGCCCAGCTCTGAAAGAACCGGGCCCCTCGGGCGCGCGCGTGCACCCCCCCACCCCCGCCAGAGGGGCCTTCAGCTTTGGGGCCCAGGGGCAGGGCCACTCAGGGAGGGGCAGAAGGCAGACACCCCCGCCCCGTCCCCCCTCTCCCGTGCCGCCTCCAGCCGCTCGCCAGCCGGCGGGAAGCCGGGACTAACCGCGGCCCCGAGTCCGGAGGCGGGGGGAAGGAGGCCGGCCGCAACTTCCCCAGTCCACCTTAAGAGGACGATGTAGCCAGCTCGCCGCGCTGACCTTAGAAAAACAAGTTTGCGCAAAGTGGAGCGGGGGCCCCGGCCTCTGGGCAGCCCCGGCGGCGCTCCCACTGCCTCCCAGCCCTCGCCGGCGGCGCAGGTCCGAACGCGGCGGGCGGGCGGAGCGGAGCTGGGGCCCGGGGCCCGGAGCCAGGGGAGCGGAGAGGGAGCGGCGCGGGCGCGCGAACTGGCACATTGTTGCAGCCGGCGGCCCGTCCGGTCCCGGGCGCTCGCGGGGCGCGCCGGCGGCGGGGATCGCGGGGCCGCTCCCCGGGCTGCAGCCGCGGGCCTCGGCGGGGTAGCTGGGCCCGCCGCGCGGGCTAGGGGGCGACGCAGCCCTCTGCCTCCCCCCTCCTCCCCCCCCCCCGGGGCGCGCGGCTGGCGGGCTACAGTGGGCTGGAGGGCCCGAGCCCAGCAGCCTCCCCGGGCTGGCTGGAAGGAGGGAGGCGGGGAGGGCAGGCGGGAGGGGGGCCGGGCTACCAGGAGGGCGGGGGCAGCGGCCGGGACTGCGGGCCGCGAGCTAGCCGAGCTGAGCCGCCGGCGCCGCGAGGAGCCCGGGCGGGGCAGGTGGGCAGCGGCGGGGGCGGCGCGGCGGGGCTCGGCGGGCTGCCCCTCGCCCCTGCGCGCGCGGTCCTGCTCTCTCCCGCGCTGGCGGCCGCGATCTGCGCGCTGCCTCGCTCACTCCTCTCCCGCTCGCTCTCTCCCTCTCTCTCTCTCCCTCTTTCTCTCTTTCCCCCTCTTCCCCTCTCCCCCTCTCTCGCCTCTCCGTGTGTCTGGCTCTACGCCTGGCTCCCTCGGGTCTGTTTCTCTCTCCTGCCGCCTCTCCCTGGCCGTTCCCTGGCTTTATCTCGCGCGCGCTTGGGGTCTCTCCCCCTCTCCGTCTCTCGATCTCTCGGGGTGGGGGGGGTCCCTCCGAAAATCGCGGCGGTGACGGCGGCTACTAAGCCGCTCCAGGCGCCTGTTCCGGGGAGGTGGGGGGGTAGGGAAGCCCGGCCGGGAGGGGAGGTTGGGGGGGAGAAAAGGGGGGAGCCTTAGTCATTTCCCCGCTCCAGCCTGCGCCCGCCCGAGCGCGCACTCACCGCCGCTCTCCCTCCTCGCTCCGCAGCCGCGGCCCATGGAGCCCGCCGGCCCGGCCCCTGGCCGCTTCGGGCCGCTGCTCTGCCTGCTGCTCGCCGCGTCCTGCGCCTGGACAGGTAAGCACCCCTGCCCCCCCGCCGCTGCCGTCCCCCAGCTGCGGGCCCAGACCTGTCAGAGCGCCACTGGGAGCCACTGGGAGCCACTGGGCTAATGTCCAGCAGTAGTAAGGGGAGACACGTCTGTAACCGGGGATACAGATGCAGAAACTGAGGCCCAGAGAGGGCCAGCCACTTGCCCAAGGTCACACAGCCATGGATAGGACCCACTCTCCCTCTCTCCGTTGACTCTGACTGTGTGGGCATTGTGCTGGGCACCTTGCTGGGCACTGGGACATACCCAGATGAGTTGGTCCACCCAGCCCCTGCCCAATCTGATGGGGGAGGCAGGCTGTCAGCAGGTTTCAGAGCTAGGTGCCCCTGGCTTCTCTAGAAGCTCTTTCCCTGGACTTAACGCTTTTCGCTCGTCTGACTTCAGGGTCTGAGAGGAGGGGGTCGGGGCAGAGGTCCCCCAGGTACTGCCTGGAAGGGAACAGAAACAGGCTGTTGCAATTAGGGAAGAGTGAGCTCTCCCTCTGGTGCCCAAGCAACACGGTGTTGGTGTGTGTATGGGAGAGAGAGAGAGGAAGGGAGGCCGCAGTGACTCTGGGGCGAGCTGCTGTGATCAACAGATCCTGATGCAAAAGCACGAAAGCACGGGTGGATTGTCCCTGTGCTTGCCAAAGCCTCTTGCTGGATGGTCTGCTCCTTGCTGTTCTCTGGCTCCCCCACTTCCTCCTGCCTGCCTTCCCTGGGCTACCAGGCAGCTCCCTGCAGTTCAGGTGCTCTGTGGGGCTGTTACCTGTGGCTCTGAGCATGTCTTTTTGTTGGCCTACATCAAACACCTGGCTGTCTCCAGCAGGCGGGCTCTGAAGGCTACCTTGTGTGTTCGCCAAGGGGTGAGGTCACCATTCAGGAGTCCTGCTTCTTAAGGCGTTTTGCAAAACCATGGGTCTCCTGGGAGGGCACAGGCGGCAGGGTAAGGGCTTTAAAGAAGTTGGGATGGGGGAGAAGGATGGGGAATCTCGTTTTTTGTCTCCTTGAAGCTGTGTTGTAGGCCGAGGGGTCTGTGCTATCCTCCTCAAGGAGGAAGGTAAAGATGAGCTCAGTACCCACTCCCCGCCCCCCCGCCTTTTGCATTTGCCTAGAGACTGGTAACCATCTGATAGCAGTGAGGAAGGGAGAACTAGCAAAGAGTGGGTGGAGGGAGAAGTGGGGGTGGACAACAGCTTCTCTCTGCCCTGCAGTTTCCCCAGAACCCCAGGAATCTACGTAGGCATCCCCCACCCCACCCCAGGTCTTCCCATTAGGTTTGGGTCCTGGCTGGGCGGAAATAAGCACTGATACATTTCATGTCTGCCTGGTGAGTGGCATCTCCGATCTGATCTGCTCCTTCCTGCCCGAGCCAGCCATTTACACCCTGCAAAAGTCCTAGTTCCTGCCCCACATCCTTCCTGGATCTGGCCTGGAAAGGCACAAGTGTCTCTCACAAGTACTTCATTTTCCTGAAACAGGGAACTGGGCCCAAGTTAATTTCTAAATGTCTATTCCAGACCCTTCTCCAACCAGGACCCTGTAGTTCAGTATCTGGCAAATGACTGGTGACGCTGATTAACAAGTGTTCGGATGGGCAGCCTGCCTTTCCTGGGGTGCTGGCTGGGAACACCGACACCCTTCTTGTGAGCAAATCTCCCCTTTTTGCCTATAAAAACAATCTATAAAACGGTAAAGATTAGGCCATAAAACTTCCGTTCCAATCCATTCAGCATCAATAGCCTGAAAAAGTGGGAGCAGCAGAGGGGCCAAGATTAACTTTGAAATAAATAAATCTTAGGAGGTGAGAATACATTTCTTGGCTGAGGACGGTGGGGCAGGGGTGGAGTGTCGCCTTCACAGCTGAAGCCTGCCAGCATTCTTCACTTTCTGTCCTCCGGACTCCCGGTCACACTCTGGACCCTGGCATGGGATTCACCTGGTCTGGCTGCAGGATGGGGCTTCGGGGCCCCCCCCCCTCGGCTGCTCCCAGCATGGAGTTTATGACAAAGCAGAAGAGAGGCAGGACAGAAGGGCAGGAAGGTAGAAGGAGGCAGTTGTCCAATTTTCCAAGAAAATAGATTTGTTCGAGTGAGAAACTCAAATGTCAGGCTTAGGAAGGCGGCGTTAGATTGAATGACTACTAACATCTTTCTGAGACCGTCAGCCTGGGAGGTGTCACATGATTGCTGGGGCTCCACATGATTGCTGTTTGCAGGGGGCTGGTCATGTGAGTTATCTGGGTTGGGGAAGGCAGGAGAAGAAGTTTCTAAAGATTGCCTTTAGCACAAATGCTGCCAAAGGGAAATTCTAAAAAGATGCCAGTGAAGTCACCAACCTGTGTTCTTGGAGCCAACGTGAGGCCTGTTTCCTAAAACAACCTCACGGAGGGAGATTCGGAGACTGGGAGCAGGGCAAGGGGCCCGGGGACACCTGGGCAACCTGACTGCGGAGTAGCCCGCAGCCCCTGCCATGGAAACTGCAGGCTCCTTGCTTGGCCCCACCGAGGTCATGGACCTCCGGGGCCCCCGCTGGGCGGACCTTGGTGAGCTCCCGCTGGCTCCTCACTCTGGCCTGGAGGAGGCCAGGCCAAGTTGGGATTCAGGTGTTCGTGGCCAGCTGGGCTCTCTAGGGACCTTCTGACGCTTTGGTAGAGGGGGACATGCTGGTGGCTTCTGTGTACTTTCCTAAATGGTGAAGTTAATCTCACTTCCTCTTTCTCAAGAATACAAAGAGGGTGGGGGGCACTTTGGCCCCGATGGGCTCAAGCTGTTGGAAGTTTCTTTTAAAGCCATGGTGTTCTCAGGGTACTTTCTGGCCATGAAGTATTCCTTTACCAATTCCCTGGTGACCTGTGGTGTGATTCATTCCTGTATTTGTAGTCATTTGGCACAATTGAAGTCCTAATGTGAGCCACATGTGGAGAAAAGGAGAACCCATGTCTTTGAAAGTTAACTGCACCCCAGACTGTGCACTGAGGGCCTCCCTGTGTCATCTCATTAATCAGCAAAGCAAAGCATGAGGTGGCTATTATCCCCATTTTGCAGATGAGGAAAATCGAGTCCCAAACTGGAGAAGTAACTTGTCTAAGGAATAAGTGGAAGAGGGCCGGGATTTTGAATCCAGCCTCTGAGGGAAGAACTTTCCTGACTTAGTCCAGGCTGGAGGGAGTGAGGGGAGCCCCCTCCGGGCTCAGATGGAGGTTTGTCAAGAGTTCCTTCTGGGGCAGAAGCCCTTCCCTGAGTCATGGTTGCTTCTCGGAAGGCACACTGAAGACAGAAACATCAACGGCCCCTCCCAAGTGACAGCTCACGGGAGCGATGTGGCTTCCACCAGAGCCCCCCATCTGGGCTGCCGAGCTCTGGAGGCCCCCAGAGCTGGAATATTCCTCCTTGCATCTTCCCAGTGCCCTTTGCAACAGATGGAGAGGGGGTGTGTGAGAGGAAGGGAGTCTAAAACTGTTGTACGGAGCCCACACACACTCGCTCGCTGCTTCCAATGGCTCCGTGCGACAGGTTATTTTCTTATTTGTAGAGTCTTGGACTGATGGAAGGTTCTCCCCCCTCCCTCTTTATAAATGTGCTCAGATTTCTGGCCTGTCAACACAACGCAGATCATGTCACTCCCCAGCTCCAAACTGTTGAGTGGGTCCAAGTTTTCTCCAAAAACATTTAAAAAGAAAAGAAAAGTGCAGCAGCATGGGCGGGCTTCCTCCCTGACAGGGCTTACTCTCAGCCACATGTTTTCCCAAGAGCTGACCTAAGATGTTGCAAGACGCACGGGCTTCCTCCCTGTAGACCAGAGCTTGCCTAGCCCCTAGGCTGCGTGAGCACCTAAGACCTGAGAAGCCCCGGAGTTGTAGAATCCCACATTGGACCCTGTTTACTCCAGCGTTCCCCAAACATATGAACACGAGGCGTTTGGCTTGTGTAACGCTTGTGAACATGCGGCCTGACCCAGTTTGGTAAACGCTTTTGTACCCATCCGTGCCCTCAGCTCAACTTTTTCATCTCTCTGCCTTTGCTTATGCTGTTCCCGCCAGCAGAGCCGCCCTTCCCTCTACCTCCTTATCTTCATATGCCCAAACCTATTCCTCCTTCAGTTTAATCTGAGGGAGCTCCTCCTTCTCTGAACTGTCCCCACCCCCAGGATTGTCTCTGCCCCTGACTGAGGCTACTTGTTGCTCTCTCCTTGTTTTCTCACCATATGCATACGTGGTTAGCACCTGGTGGGTGTGGTGGTTCTGGATCCCCCGCGCTAAGTCACAGGCAGGCTTAGGGTGGTGGGGCGGGGGGATTGTGAATCCCAGCTCCACTGCGTATGGCGGGGGCGGGGGGGAGATTGTGAATCCCAGCTCCACTGCGTATGGCGGGGGCGGGGGGGGGGATTGTGAATCCATTGTGAATCTCCTGTCCTCCGTGTGGGTCTCAGCTCCCTCCTCTGTAGGACAGAGATGACGTCAGCAACTGTTTCAAGGATCAAGTCCACTAATACACGTGTGATGCTTGCGGCTGTACCTGGCGTGGAGTGAGCCCTCGGCACATGCCAGCCAGCCTCGCAGCCACCTTAGCTTTGTTCTCTTTGGATTTCCTCCTCTACCAAAGTGGGGCTGCCTTTTGTAAAGTACCTGGCACAGCCTCTTGCACACAGTGGGCACAAAATAGCAAAAGCTACCAGATGGGAGTGCGTGCTATTCCGTTTGGGGTTTTTCCCTGTAGCTTTGGGGCCCCTGGGGGCTGGACAACTCGAGCGGAACCCCAGGCTAGTGGGATTTAATTCTGTTCCTGGGACTGAGGCTGTGGGCGCAGGCTGCCTCTAGGTGTCTCTGTCCAGATCCACAGGTTTGGAATTGTGCGCTCCCAGACCCGGAAAGCCAGAGAGGAAGCCTGGGAGAGCTGTTGGGGGTCTCACTGAGCGCCTCGCTGTGCCCCACTGTGAGAGAGAGCCTGGCACTCTTGGGCTCACACAGCAGATCCACTGCAAGGTCG